TGTGAGAGCTCTTTTCCTGTCTTCTCACAATCATAGACTCATAGAGAAGTAGGGCTGGAAGGGACCTCCATAGGTCATCTAGTCCAAATCCTTGCCACGATAAGACCAGCTATGACCTACTGCCTGTCTTCTGCCTAGACTAAATTTGCTTCTTCCCTTACTGATTTAGGCACTTGACTATAGATGATAAAGCCCCTTGTGGTTTCTCTTGCTCCTGCTTTTAGTCCTGGCATTAGAATGGATGGAGATGAGGTTTGCAGGGTTCCCTACTACTCATTCAGCAAGGGGATCTCTCTCCTTGGGCTTTCCGCATATCACATGATACCAGAAGCAGGGTACAGGTTTCCCTTGATTTATGCAGGTTCTGTATGTGCAAATTCACTCTTACGTAATGACCCTTTTTATACCAAAAAATCGTTATATGCAAGGTAAATTCACTCTTATGCGATCAGTGTGGTGGAAGCCGGCAGTCAGCTGCTTTGTGCGGTGCACTGTGGGAGTGACGCACACCAAAATACAAAATATAGTCTCCTGTGTGGATCTGTGCTCCTCGCTCATTGTCTGCAATGTGTGTTTCTGTAGTTGCCGTCCCCGTTATGGTAACATTCACCACCACCCTGTACTTGTGTGTACTGTCTGCTCTTGGTGAGTACCAAAATTGTCTTGTAAAAGTGGTAGAAATGGGTCCAGAGGTCAGTACAGTTGAGATCTTGGAACATATCCCTATTTGTTACATTGTAAAGTGGGTTTCCTTTATGCAAATTTGAGTTATGTCTCATTTTCCAGGAACACATGTCCATCATGAGGGAAACCTGTATCTGATTCATAACTAACAATGTTGGAAAGGGGTCTGATTCAAGCAGCTGGGATTTCTTTAATGCATACATGGGAAAAAAGTATTTGCCTTAGTGACTGATCAGGCTGTAGAATTATAAATGTGAAAACGGTAAAACTGGAATGCGATTCCTACAAAATATAAAAAAGATTCATTTTTTTCAGAAGTGACATTTTATGACTCCTACGGAAAAATTAGGGGAAGACAAAGAAAGGAAAAGGTAGTTGCAGAATAAGGCACTGTATCAATAAACAATTTAAGCATATGTTTATATATAAAAACGAAACTAGTCCTGCTAGCAGCCAGCAGACGACTCACAGTTGGCTGAATCAGAGCTGATTTGTGCAGTCTGGCAGGCTTGTCTGCTACAGAGTGGTAGTTAGCTTAGTCTGAAGTCAGGCAGAAGGCAAGATAAATTTGCACCTTACAGACTAACTACCTCTCTGCTCAGGGATGGCACCATGCTCAGCCAAACCAAGTGGACTGCAATCAATCTACACAAGAAACCTGCTCAGGTTCACTCAGATATCTTCTTCCTGACCAGATACAAGCAAATGAATATCATACTCAAGGGACTCAAAATGAATAATCCATGCTGTTCTGCATACCACACGGCCTATGCTGACAAGCTGTGCTTCACTCCATCTGAGAAACTGTGGAACCACCTTATCAATGTTCTGTATAACAATAATTTACTTAGTCTATAAGGTGCAATTCTCCTCTGCCTTCTGTCTCGTATAGAGCCATCAGCCTGTTTTGTGCCTCCCTCTAGTTCCAGGAGGGTATAGTGCACGCAAGCTAACATGGAAGTACTATACCTGAATGAACCTGGACCAGACAAGAATTACCCTGGCCCTGTGGTATATCGCAACAAAATGCAACAGCAGTGGTCCAAAATATTTCCCCATAATTCTGCATTAGACCCTCCTGAGTGGCTGCATCACTACCTTTCATGGTGTACTATATTTTGGTTGTCTATAATGTACATCACCATGGTCCCTAAATGCTTAGAAAATAAAGCAACAATTCACTGTACGGCATATTTCTGCACTGATGATGTAAAAAAGTATAATAAGGAAGTAAATACACTTTCTTTTGTACTTTAACTTGGTTACTTTAGTTTAAGAGCAATTACACATATGCACGTGCACATATGCACCAGCAAATAGGTATTTCCAGCTGTACGTTCAGTGCTGGCTGCCCTTTGAAGCCCTCAGGAAAATAAGAAGCTATGTTTCGTGAAGCTTATTGGATGAGCAGCTACTTAAATAAGGAAGTAAACAAGTAAACAACAAGCAATAACAAGCTGAAACCCTGATCATAATTACTGACCTTTGTGCATAACAGTGGATCCCTTATCATCTCGCTCATTAATATTGATTATTCCACTTTCCACTAATCTTTTAAGTGTCACCAGGTCTCCTTTGAAGGCAGCAGTGTGAGCTGGGAAAGCTAAATCTAAACAAATGTAACAGAGACATTTCCAAGTGAAGGACAGTGATTCCACTAAATACACAAAGAAGCTACTTTCCACTTGCCTGTCAGTTTTTCTCTCTCAGTAATAACTCATGCATGGAAAATCCACACTTCTTGTTGGTAGTGCAGTTAATGCATCTTTAATCAGTTAAAATACAGCTGCAGAACAGAGCATTATTCATCACAGGCTTCACTAAATATGCCCTGGGTGCTGGCTGTAGGCATGTTATAGTTGCAGAGAGATTCACTTCATAATTCTGAAGTAATAAATATGCCTTTGTTTTAAACTGAATGGCCTAATAATGTTGGAAAATAAAGCCTTCTGCTTATTTTCCACTCAATGGTCCTAGTTGCAATATAATATATTTTATTTTTTCTTGCTGCAAATAATTATCCATAGAGCCAGTTTCATTTTTCTTGGTAGCAGACATGAGTTATACCACCCCCAGAGTACTAGATAAAGAACGACTGTTTGAAAAATCAAGCAGGTCTGGTCCTCAGCATAACAACAAGGCAGTCTGACAGCCTCTATTCTACAGCCCTATGCTACCACTTTAAAGTGAGTCACTTTCCCATATCTGCATCAGTCACTTCTACACAGTTACTGTGCCACTGTTGCTGTTTCTCCTGCAAAAGTTTGTATTTCAGATGCTGTTCGGGTTTCTGCTCACCTTCCTGACAGAACGGATGGTCTCGCTCTTGCTCCACGCTGTCAACGTACTCTACAATATTATCCTTGTAGAACCTCTGGGCCAAATCCTTTGGGGTCTCCCCATGGTCATTCCTGGCCTTCAATGTGTGTGTCACGCTGGCCATTTTGCTAACCAAGAACTTAAAGCAATGCAGGTGGCCCTCCATTGCTGCCAAATGAGCTGTTACAAAAGCAAAGACGACGCATATTAAAGCTGAGCATAACTAAATAAGGAACACCCAGCTAAATTCAAAGCCCGCCACATCCCCAAATCCAGCTCCTCTCTGCTAGGCCCTCTAGCTGTATACCACAGCAGAAACAGCAGGGGGACTGGACATGGGAGTGTTTATTTCCTGCTCAGTGCAGAGTTTGGAGATGAAGCATATGGGAAACAAGAAAGGGCTGGGTATAGGATGGACAGAAACAGTAGATCTCTGCTAAACAAATTCTGCCATCATTCCCTCTTCACAAGGTTGGGCCCCATGATGGACCGTGCACTGTTGGGGGTGCAGTCTTTTGGATGAACATTAATTTAAGCCTTTATCATCTGTCATTTTTCAAGATCCCTTAACAGATTTGTGTAAAAGTACGAGCCCAACTTCACTGTCCCAGCCAAACTCCAGATCAGATGGAGGCAGCATGGATAGGCCAGAAGTCTGGGGACCTCAGCTCCAGCTTCACCTCTGCTGTACAACCTTGAGCAAATCACTTCACCCATCCATGCCTCAGTTTCCCCATCTACATAAGGGGGATAATGACATTCACACTCTTTTGTACTGTACTCTGGGCGCATCCACACAAGACGCAGGCTGCACCGTAGCTGGAAAATACTGCAGAGTAGCACGTCACAGCACGGACAGTGTTAATACACTACTGCACAGTGTCACCTAAAGATGTTCTCCGATGCTACTGGCTATGTCTACACATTCATTAATGCTCCTTAATTACTGTGCCTTTAGTTTAGTACTTGTATAATGAAGTACTAACTAAATGTGTGGTAACTAGAGTTACTGTGCAGGAGCACCAGTGCATGGTTATTTTGTAATGCTTACTGCTCATTAGCCTAATAACACTGTGTAGTAGGCTATTAGCACAGTTTTTAACTGCCACACTACTGCAGTGTTATTAGGTTAATGCACCGTAAGCGTCTCATGTAGACACACCCACTGCCCAGTAACTCCAGTTACTGCACAGCAGTGTTGCACGTAGAAGAGCCCTCCGAGACCTGTGGATGAGCAGACATCTGAAAGAGGTAAGTCATCATCCTTTGCTTCTCAGCTTTCCCCGAGTTTCACTGTATACAGAATTTCTACTTGTTTTCTCTCCTAAAAGGTCATGAATTATTGCTATGTGAAACTACTATGGTCTATCCATAAAGGTAAGGTAACTGAAACATTACTTTACCTATATTTCAGGATACTGTGAAGCTTAGGTGTTTAATGTTTGAAATGTTCAGCGATACATAATGAAATGAACTACAGAGGTACAGTTCATTGCTTTATAAACAGTAGTATTTGCTATTCCCATGAGTGGGAAATATGGATGAGGGACTCAGTGTCAAATACTTATGTATTAATTAGGTAATGTAATACCATGAAAATACTCTGCATAATTTGGTTCATATACTACTGACAAAAAGATGGAATATTTTGTTGTACATTACTGGAAAGATAATTAGTTTCTCTCCCATTAAGAATTTCATTATCCTTATAATAGCTAGATATAAACAGAGCAAGTAGCACTAATGTACTTCATATAAGTAAGAAACTGCCCACAGTCTCACAGTCCAGGAAAACTCTAGACCAGTGATTCTCAACCAGGGTGCCATGACACCCTAGGATGCCTCCAGATCCTTTGAAGGGTACTGTGAGGTGTGAAGAGATAAGCATATAAGCAGAGGCTCAAGCTTGTCCCTGCCTGGTTGATCCCCTACCCCCACTGCCTAGCCCTCTGCAAGGAGACAAGCATTGTAACATATAAATTAGTTTTTGAAATTGAGTGCTACGCAATTCACAGAAATTAAGAAGGGATGCCTCAAGTCCAGTGAGGAGTGCTTCCAGTCCATAGCTTTTAAGAGCCACTGCTCTAGATAGTCACAGATATTGGCCCCACAGCAGGGCCTTCCAGTGCCAGAAATGCACTGCTGCATAAGGCTAGAATTCAAGGGGATGAAATTCTGAATGCACTGAAGTCAACAGGAGTTTTGCCTTCGACTTTGGTAGAAAGTGGATTTCACCCAAGGAATTATAGACCTACCCAAGGTGAAGCTGAAGCTGAAATACCACAGGCACTGAACATACATTTTATTTATGTTAGATATTAATTGTTATATTATAGGTAGGGCTGGTATCACCCCCTACTGTTAAAATTGCCCAACATATATCTCACATGTGAATGAAAACATGTCTCAGGGTACATCTAGTATAGATGCAAGATTTACCATTGTAAGAGTCAGCATTTTCCAATGTTACCCACACAAGTGTTGTAGATAACATGTCTCTTTCC